GAGCTAGAAAACCAAAAAAGCAAGAACAGGCTTACGTGATGTATAGCCATAGCTTTTCTGGCTATGAATACAAATCTGAGGTGGCCTCTAACTTCAGGCGCTGGAGCACAAGCTAAAGATTACGTGCTACAGCTTTCCATGTTGGTCCTATTGGCTCCTCACCTAAACTGACGTGGATCCATCGATTTCAGTGAAGGTATTCCTGATTTGTACCAATGGAAAGGAGATACCCTGCCTTTGTTTTCCATATGCAGTGCCATAGCCCATATTTATCTGGGAGAAAACTTGAAAAGAACTTCATGAAATTCTGACACTTTCAAAACTTAAAGCCCACTTCCAACATTTGATTATCTATTAATTTAATGTAAATAAAATTGAGGAATCAGTTGTCTTGACAATTTATTCTGTTGTGCTCAAAATTGGGAATCTTTTCCTACAAGATGGAATTATCAAACAATTAAACAATCAAGCCTTCCAAAAATCAACTCTGTTGTTTGTGTGTATAAATACTATTAAGGGTCCTAGTGGGTTTTTGTATTCTTTAAAATAATTGGGATCATCAAGAAGAACCCCCTCTCCTCCCTGAGAATTAATGGCGCTGTTTGGAGAACTGCAAATTCCTCCACTGTTTCTGCTGCTGTGACCTTTATTAATTCGTGATCTCCTAAAAGCTTCCCAATAAGGTGTGGATTCCTGGGTAGAGACTTTAAATCCAAAGCCAATAAATTTCCTTTCCACATGTTGAAAGCACTGCATTAGATATATGGAGCAATAAAAATATCTTTAAAAGAATAGCAACAAAAATATTTTCAGTGCAAGCCAGCATTCAAAGTGAAGTGATGCTGTACATTTACCAGCCTGTTGATGGTGTTTTAGACTCAAACCAAAAAATTCGCCTGAGAGAGACAGTGCTTTTGGGCTGCAGGAGGCTTTGAAATCTCAGTGCTGAAATGTTTCCTGTATCTGTTTTGGTTAGCATTTCACCAGGTTGAACACTCTTCTTCAGTTCATTGAGTCACATCCAGAAATGTCATTAGCAAAAAATGCTTAAGTGGATTCTTCATAGGCCTGACTAACAACAAAGCTTGAGAAGTGGTCGCCTTCCTTTCCTCTGCGGCTGGCTCCAGCTAAAAGCCCATTCCCTTGTGTCAGAAGGCATAGGGACAAAATCTACCTCAGATTGGTGACTATTGATTTTAATGAAGTTTTGACAAGTCAACTTGGAAGAGAACCTTCTCCAGTGCCCTCTGAACGCTTGAATACATGTTGTAAACTCAATCTATACTGTCAAAATAAATAGCCTCTTAGAGTCCATTATAACCATTATGGCTACTTAGATGAAAGGAGAACGATAATATTTGTTTGTACAGCTAATCAGTGTTGCAGTCCTTACTAATGGTTCCTGAGTAGTTGTTGTATTGGAGTGTTAATCATGGATGCTCTGATTATCAGCAATTGTTTAAAAAAAAAAAGAACACAAAGCAAACAAGATAAATATTCTCAAACAAAAGATGAAAGGGAAAAAGTGTAATGGTCGTCATTCTGTTGAGTGTCAATATTCATCATAAAATTTTGAGACTGCTTGGATTATACTGTTTGTGTGGTTTTTTTCTGAAAACAACAACAAAAAAAATTCAAATAGCTTAAGTTTTTATTTTGAGCTGTGACACTTAAAAGGCACTTTTCATCTCCAGAGCACTGAGCCAGAGGATGGACCTGGGGTGATCACACCAGTGAAGGATCTGGCATTGCTCCTGATTTCTGTGATGTGCTAAATACATCTTGGAGGACAGGACCCCGTTACTGCCTCCACCACCAAACACATCGCTGCCTTCAGACGGATGGATTTGGCCATGCTGTTTTGACAGGGGGGAAACCTGGTGCAGGTGATTTTTAAAATGTGCCCAAGGTAGCAGGGGAAGTCATGGCTAGGAGCAGGACTGCAGCCCTGGAAATCCACCTCAAGCCTTCAGTAGTGTGACTGCTGCAGAGGAATCATCATGTTCTTCCTCGCACCAGTCCTGGTGCTACAAAACACTTAATGTGTTATTAAGCAAAACATATTTCAAGCCTGTCATTGATTCAGGGCCTGCAGTCTTAACAAGGACCGTATCATTTTTCTTCCTTCTAAGTGGGAAAAATCCCTGGACTCTGTTTTCTCTCCATAGAAACTACAGAATAGAAGCCAATGCAATTAATGAAAAGTGTTGATATCACGTGAACAAGAATAGGGCACATATTCAGCCCTTTCTTCAGCCATTCAGCCTAATGGGAAATACGCCTCTTTGTGGACCGCGTGGCTGGGGCCAAAGACTAAATTTAATATATCTGCAGCCCAATCATTTCCCCAAGGAAACTGTCAATTACCAGGGTGAAAGAAAAAAGATGCTGATATACCTGGGCCAAACTCTGCTCTTGCTTGTGTCAGAACAATATCCCTGATTGCACTTGCTTCTGTGTGACCGTGGGTCGAGTTTGGCCCTGTGTCCTCAGTTCCCTGGGTTGCCTTTGAACCACAGGAACTACGCTTTGAGATGGCTACTTGGACAATTGCTAATGGCAGGAAAATCCTCAGTTCTTCTGACATTAAGGCATTGTAAATACTGAAAGAAAAGAAATCTGTGTTGTATTTTTTTGGCGTACAACGCCTAAAGCCTTATCTCTTATTCTGTCAGGAACCAAGAACTATGTATACAGATGGTGCAATTTATTATGTTCTGTACTGTGACCAAGTGCTGAAATACCTTCAGGAAATCACCAGAAAGCCTGAAAAGCTTTGCTATCTCTTGTGACTCCAGCTCACTAAAACTATAATTGAATGAGCACAATATATTAAGCCCTGCATGTTACACAGTAGACTTACAGAAAAGGACGCCATCTTTTTCAGCATCGTTACAGAAAAAAATATTTGCTGTACAATTACTGCCTGTACCCAAGGTCGTAATAGCTCTGTCTCTCTCTATTCTGCTCCTACAAACCCACAAGACAGGGCTTTACAAATAAATGTCTAGGCTCAATGGGTCTACCTCAACTCAGGTGTAATGCCATTAAATTCCGTGATGCTGCTCTCATTTCTAAGATGTTGCTGGGCCTGATAGCCCTGACATTTAAACCAGTGTCTGTTGGGGCTGAAAGGAATGGAGGTTGGTGTAACAGTGGTATGAAAAGAGAATTTTAGCCCTCTATCAGCTGAGAAGTTAATGTATTTCCATTCCTGCAAAATTCCTGCTTCACTGAGCAGATTTTTATGAAGCTGTTTATTAAACTTGGCTTAGTGGGTGCTAGGAATACCAAGAAAAACTAAAATCAGTGTCCTCAAACTCATTCATCTCTGTGTATGAAATAAAAACCCTAGGCCAAATATTTTGTTCAAACCCATTTGCTTCCTTCATCTAGAGCACTGAAAAACAGGACCCCTGTGCCATTGACCCAACAACAGACGCTTGTGGGCATCCCAGTACACACTGAGCCCAACTTGCTGCAACGGCCACCATTCACAGAGCAGCTGTTTTGCTCACTAACTGCTTCACTGGAGATGAAACCATCTTCATCTCTGATTTTCTCCTCTTCATCTTTGATTTTTTCCCGTTTCCTCTTTGCAGGAAGGCTGGGCCGTGGTGCCTTGATATTAGGGGATTCTTTATCCACTTCCTCACAAGCACTGCTAAATATTCCGCGTGCTTTGTTATTACATAGAAACACGAATACCACGAAGCATCTTTCTTCTCACGTCCCCCAGACACCGGGCTGGGTACACAGACCCCCGACAACTCCCGCCTGTCGCAGGACAAGCCCTCGCATCGCTCTGGGGGAAGAAAAAAAAACCAAAAAGCAAACAACAAACCAAAACCCAACTGCAATGTGGGATGAGGCTCCTCCAGGACACGGGGGTGCCGGCTGATCCCGCGCCTCCCCTTTGGCCTGGCCCCGCTCCCGGCTGCGGCGAGGG